GTGCGATTAGAGACGGGTGCGATTAGAGACGGGTGCGATTAGAGACGAGTGCGATTAGAGACGGATGTGAGTGTGAATAGTTAGAGACCGGAGAGACAGGCTGAGGAGTGAGTGGAGAGTAACAGAGAACACAGAGTCAAACATAAGGATCAGAGTGACATTATACAAGAAACAGAAATGGAAAAATAAAGACATAGAAATAGAAAGAACACAGACAAAGGGGCAAATTATGTCAGTGCCCCCCTATCAAGGGATGGCTCCTGATGTCCCCAAAGACAAAGCACAAGAAAACGGATAGGGTGGAAGGAGGGGGTGACACTAGGACGGAGAGCAACAAGGAAAAAAGTACAGAAACAGAAAACCAACAGGGCTTGACCTGGGAGAAACACAAACGAAACAAAAAGTTTCTATGAACGGCCCTGGGCAACGTTCAAAGATGATAAGGGTTCAAGTGGACAGTTCAGTGACACAAACATCCCAGTTCTTGCATGACCAGACATGTCAACCACTGAGCATGTTTGGGATGATCTGGATCGGCATATATGACAACGTGTTCCAGATCCTGACAACATCCACATGAAGAGTGGACCAACATTCCACAGGTTACAAAGAACAACCTGATCAACTGTATGTGAAGGAGATGTGTTGCACTGTGAGCCAAGTGATCTCACACCAGATCTTGACTGGCTTTCTGACCCACCCCCTCCATTACTGTAAAACTGCACATTATAGAGCAACCTTTTATTGTGGTCAGCCTAAGGCACACCTGTGCCATATTCATGCTGTCTAATCAACATCTTGATATGCCACAGCAGTGAGGTGAATGGATTATCTCTGTAAAGGAGAAGCCCTCACTAACACAGATTTACACACATTTGTGAACAATATATGAGAGAAAAAGTCCTGTTGTGTACAGAGAAAAGTCTTAGATCTTTGAGTTCAGCTCATGAAAAATGGCACCAAAAACAAAAGTTTATTTTTTGTTCAGTGTATCTTTTCATCAATTAATTCATCTATGATTGAGTTGCCAAATGATAGTGAGGTGATCTTAAGTATTCAGTTGCATCAGTGTTGTTTATTATTGTTATATTGTTTTGTGTTGTGTCTTATTTTAAATATTGCCGTGCCTTCTACAGCATTACTGTCAAACGTTCGTATCATTGTCCTTTAATGAGGCTTCTAATCTAAATCAAAATGACCAGGGTGTATTGCTTGTTTGCTTTCAGCACAATTCCATACTGGGTAGTGTCTTTGCAGACTTCTTTGACCAGCAGATGTCCTCCATTCAAGCCAGTGCTCTCTCACAACAGGTGTGTGTCAGCCAGCAGCACAAATGTTTGCACTCTTGCTTTTACGTTTTATTCCTTTCTGCTGCTTCAAGAAGATGATAGATGCAGCAATCATATAAAATGTGTGTGAAACATTTGTCTTTTGTGATCACCAGTTGGAGCAGTTCAACATGATTGAAACCTGCATCAGTTCTGACAGTCTGTATAACCAGACCTCCACCCTCAACTACTCCCAGGCACTAATGATGGGCTTGACTGCTCATTGCAACCCCCAAGACTCACAGCAGCTGGGCTACAGCAGCCATGGCAACAGCAGCCATGGCAACATCCCCAATATCATTCTCACAGGTGTGTTTCAACTTAACCTTTTGCTTCTTAAGTCCCGTTTGTACTGATGACTCAACTAACGCCTAGGGCTGGGCAATATGGACCAAAATTAATATTGATATTTTTAAGATAAATTGCGATATACAATATATATCAATATTTCTTCTTCATAAAGTAATAACAAAAATATATTTCAGAGTCAAAGCTTTGTCCCAGTTGTCACACAGGCACATGTATGAACAAACAGCTGTAACTGTACAAAATAAATGTCTAAAAAATAAACTATTTACATACATTAAATAAAAATCCTCTTCAGCTGCGCCGCCTTCACGACGTTAGTCGGCGCGTGTGAAACACCACGAGGGGCTGTTTGTGTTCAGTGAGGGAGGAGGAGGGGCCGTGTGAAGTTGGAGCAGACGGGAGAAAAAGAACTACAGTAGTCCCTCGTTTATCGTGGGGTTCCATACCCTGAAACCCCGCGATAAGTGAAAAACTGTGAAGTAGGAGTAGTCGTACAAGTAGTAGTTTTATTTTAGTATTTATTTACATACAGTGCCTTGTGAAAGTATTTGGCCTCCTTGAAATTTTCAACCTTTTGCCACATTTCAGGCTTCAAACGTAAAGATATAAAATTTTAATTTTTTTGTGAAGAATCAACAACAAGTGGGACACAATCGTGAAGTTAAATGAAATTTATTGGATGTGTCAAACTTTTTTAACCAATAAAAAACTGAAAAGTGGGGCGTGCAATATTATTCGTCCCCTTTACTTTCAGTGCAGCAAACTCACTCCAGAAGTTCAGTGAGGATCTATGAATGATCCAATGTTGTCCCAAATGACTGATGATGATAAATAGAATCCACCTGTGTGTAATCAAGTCTCTGTATAAATGCACCTGCTCTGTGATAGTCTCAGGGTTCTGTTCAAAGCGCAGAGAGCATCATGAAGACCAAGGAACACACCAGGCAGGTCCGAGATACTGTTGTGGAGAAGTTTAAAGCCGGATTTGGATACAAAAAGATTTCCCAAGCTTTAAACGTCCCAAGGAGCACTGTGCAAGCAATCATATTGAAATGGAAGGAGTATGAGACCACTGCAAATCTACCAAGACCCGGCCGTCCCTCTAAACTTTCATCTCGAACAAGGAGAAGACTGATCAGAGATGCAGCCAAGAGGCCCATGATCACTCTGGATGAACTGCAGAGATCTACAGCTGAGGTGGGAGAGTCTGTCCATAGGACAACAATCAGTCGTACACTGCACAAATCTGGCCTTTATGGAAGAGTGGCAAGAAGAAAGCCATTTCTCAAAGATATCCATAAAAAGTGTAATTTAAAGTTTGTCACAAGCACCTGGGAGACACCAAACATGTGGAAGAAGGTGCTCTGGTAACATGAAACCAAAATCAAACTGTTTGGTCTCAATGCAAAACGATGTTTGGTGTAAAAGCAACACAGCTCATCACCCTGAACACACCATCCCCACTGTCAAACATGGTGGTGGCAGCATCATGGTTTGGGCCTGCTTTTTGTAAAGTTTGCAGATGATACAGCGGTGGTGGGATGCATCACAAACAATGATGAGTCCAACTGTAGTGAACTTGACCTGATGTCAAATCTTGACCTTAGGATCATATGGTCAGAAACTGTCATTTCATTGATTTGCATCCAGAAATACAGGTTGATCGATCCTGAGACTTTCTTTCTTGAATTAATCAAGTGGAAAAAGACAATTCTCTATGATCATTACTATTTTACAAATGTTTTGATAATCAAAGTGTTTTGGTTCAAACAATGTCTACATGTTGAAGTGAACTAATCATTTTTATTTACTTAAACGTTAGTAATGATTCTTAATCCTCAATTCAAAGTGAAATCAAGTTAGAGTACGTTACAGAGTAATGATTCAATTTCTTGATCATCTGCTTTGAAGTGAGCAAAGTTGTAAGTGTGTCAAAGTTCAAGCTTCGGTCAACTAAAAGTTTACTGAAAAGAAATGTCATGTTTAACTTTTACAGCGAGATACTAGGAGGAGTGACTCCACGAAGTCTGGTTTTTCCATGATATCTTTCTGTCTCTTCTTAAACAATCTGAATCTTTTCCTTGACTTTTAATAACACCTTACATCACAAAACACACCTCTGTTGGGGTCCATCGACCAATCAGAGGCTCTCAAACTAACCGGAAGTAGAGCCCATTAAAATGTTGGCACTTCCTAGTTCATGCAGAGAGTTTGGGAGTTCCAGAATGCAGAACGCTGGCATTCAGGATGCTGCTGAATTAGAATCAAGCTGAACCAGAGACGACTTTGGGAATTATAACTTCTGTTTGGCTAACACCACGACTCCGAGGTCTTTAGCTGTTCTTACGGAGACGCTGAACAGTGGCTCGAAGTGGGACTTCACGCCGGAACTGATCTATCTTCAGAAAAGGTAAAAGTCGACCTTCACCAAAAGTGTACTGTTGGGACAAGCTGATTTCCAAAGGAGCGTGCTGTTCTGGTTAAAACAGACAAATTCCCTCACACATCTCTCTGTAGACAAACTTCACTTTCCATCTTTAAACTCTCCTATCTGCTAGCAAATTAATCCAGATGTCTTCAGAAATGTCTGTGGTGAAGCAACGGAAAATCATGGCCGTATGGTTTTCCTGGTTGTAAAGCTGATTGATTATGTTGTTATTTTCATATTCTGCCAAATTAATGTAAACGTTTGATGTTAAACTTTGATTCTGTAAATAAATGACCACATTCATTTTGATGGGTCAAAGATAAATAACGTCTCACGTCCACATTTTTGTTAAATTCAATGCACGACATCATTCAGTCCAGAAAAATGAAAGAACTCGTTTAATGTATGAATATATCTCAGGATATGTCATACTACACAGCTACAGGCAAGAGGTGGAACACCTGGAGAGCTGGTGCAAAGAGAATAACCTTCACATCAATGTGAAGAAGATAAAGGAGATGATTGTGGACTTCAGAAGGAACAAAAACACCTACACCCCCCTGAACATAAGAGGATCTGCGGTGGAAGTGGTCTCCAGCTACAAGTACTTGGGTGTACACATGAATGACAACCTCAGCTGGAGCAACAACACCACCAGCCTGATCAAGAAAGCTCATCAGAGACTCTACTTCCTCAGACGGCTGAGGCGAGCTGGTCTGGAAGCTCAGTCCTCACCTCCTTCTACAGGTGTGCAGTGGAGAGCATCCTGTGCTCGAGCATCAATGTGTGGCATGGAGGCTGCACAGCTGCAGAAAGAAAAGCTTTGCAGAGAGTGGTGAAGGCTGCACAGAAATCTGTCGGAATCAGTCTCCCCACCATCACAGACATCTACACCTCCAGATGCAGGAAGAGGGCCACCTGCATCATGAAGGACCCCACTCACCCAGCACACACACTTTTTGCCCCACTCCCCTCAGGAAGGAGGTTAAGGAGCATTAAGTGTAGAACCACTAGACTGAGGAACAGCTTCTACCC